CCGAGTCTTGAAAGCCACACAGCGTCACCTCTTGGTGACACAGCCCTACCCTGACCCAGGGTGGGAGGGTCTGCACAGGTGTGAATGCTGGAGGCAGGAATCACGGGCCACCTGGAGGCTGGCACCTCACCCAGGAAATGTCTGGAATGCAGACCCTAAAATGGCACCAATCACGTGGGAGGTGGGGTCAGAGGAGGCAACAGTCGTACATGTTGGACAGCAAGGAGGTGGCTTGCTCAGCCAGTGTTTCAAACCCAGGGCTGTGTAACAAACATCCCCAGTTGAAGGTGCAGAAAAATTGTGTCCTTACACCCGTCAGTTCTGTGGGCCCGGATCGGACAGGATCAGACAGGTCAGGAAACCCTGGGCTGGCTGGGCTGCCTCTGCTCCACAAGGTGGGGGCCTCTGCCCCGAGGGTGACTTCGTGTCTGGATGCTAGAATCATCCAGAAGCTCCTACCCTCAGGCACCAGCCCAGGATCCCCTCCCTGGTTCCTGGGAGCCAGCCAAGCCCCGAGGTGGCCCCTCCACCCCAATCACCCCGGCCGCCCTGGCAGGCCCGGAGCGCTGCAGATCTGGACGTGAGAACCGTCCCCATATCTCTTCATTGCCTTTCTCTTCTCTGCCCCGTTTTCATTCTCAGCTACAGCTGAGCCCACATAATGTGGGCTTGGCCAGACTCCCGCCTCCTCCTCCTGGGCCTTCAGCCACACCGGCCTCGCCCAGTGGCCTGAGCCGTGGCTCCGAGTCAGCAACGTCCGCTGAGCCTCGGGGACGGTGTTTGTGGCACCACTGCTTGTCCCCCAGGGCCAGACTCAATACCTGGGCCCCAGCCTGCCAGCAGAGGGGCCTGACCCCAGGCCATGGAGATGGCAGCGGGGCACGTGCCGAGCCCTCCCCTGCTGGGTCTTGGCACACAGCACTGGGATTTCAGGGTGGATGATGCCCAGGTCCATGGAGGGAGGCAGAGGGCTGAGAGGGGAGGCAGAGGGAGGGCGTTCCATCCCCTGGAGCCAACCGCCTCCCCCACCACATGCCCTGTCCTACCCCCAGGAGCCTGTGCACATACCACATCGCAGGGCAAGGTGAGGGTCTGAGATGTGAGCCTGTCCTGGGTGTCCGGTGGGCCCGAGGTCATCACAAGGACCCTCACAAGAGGAAGCTGAGTCAGAAGCAGACGGGTCAATGGAAGCAGAGATCAGAGTTATGAGTACTGAGATGGAGGACGAGTCAGGAGCCCAGGTATGTGGGCGCCTCTCGAAGCTGGGAGAGGCCAGGAGCAACTCCCCCCCTGGCCCCAGAGGCTCCAGGCGGCCCACGCCCTGATTTCACTCGGCAAGACGCCCGTGGGCCTTGTGCCCTACAGACTCAAGGTACATGTTTCTGTTACTTCAAGCCTTTAGTCCCCTCCAAGAGCCTCAGGGGGCTGTCGTCTTCCCAGCGATGTGGCCTCAGCCTGCTGGGGCTGGAAGCTGGCTCCAGGTGGCTCTCCCTTGCCATCCAAGGACCCCAGCCAGTCCAGAAGGAGGTCCTGCAGGGCAGTGTTGAACGACAGGCCCCGAGGCTGCCTGAGCCCAGGAAGGAGGTCGGTGGTGAGGGCCCCCTGTCGGCTTTGGGACAAAGAAGCCAGGTCGTCACACCCCAAAGAGGGACTCAGACCACAAGCCACTGAGACCAGGGGCCCAGGACACATGGTGACAGGCCTCAAACTGCAGCGGCTTCTTGAGGTTTTTCTGGAGAAAGAGACCACCAGACACGCTTCTCTGTCTAGAGTGGGGTTGGGGCCCTTCTTGTGATTGGTTCAAGGGCAGCTTCTGGGCAGGACAAGCGCGCAGGACTGAGGGACATGGACGGTGTCACAGCCCACACCTGCCCTCAGAGGCCAGACACTGACACGTTCTCCTGAGAGGAACACCGGTCACACGTCTAATATTTAATCCACTTACCAAGAATCTGTTGCGTCCCAGCGGCTTCCCACAGCAGAGGCGAGCGCTTGCCTCCAGCCACACAGCCACACAGCCACCCTCGGGCCTTTGGAGAAGCCTTGCCGCTGGCCCCCCCCTCGCGAAGTCTCCTGGGAATCTTCTCCATCATTTCAGAGTCTCTTGGGTTTCCCTGCAGAGCTTTCCCTTCCACCGATGACAGCTTCTGTCATACCTGAATTTCTAATGAGCGGGAACGAACTGTGTAGTGAAAAAACATTCCACCCTATTTTGGCACATCTGTCTTGACGTATCTTTAAGCCTCAAATGATGCCAGTGGTCCAGGCCTCCTTCAACCTCCGACAGTCCCTCCTCACCAGCTCCATCTCACGCTGAGCCCAGGGCGGTCCAGCGCCTGCCCAACCTCAGCAGCCAGCCGGCACCAGGCTCCAGGTGAGTTCAGCCCCGACATTCCAACTGCCCCAGACCCGCCCTGTGGAGAGAGACCAGCTGTCCCCTCAAAGCCCCAGCCAAGCTGCAGATCCGTGAGTGAAATCGGTGCTGTGTAGTTTCAGGCCACTAAGTTGTGGAGTAATTTTCCAGGCAGCTGCAGCACCTGGAACTGCCCACTTTGTGGGTGAAACCCCTGAGGCCTGGAGGGGTCATTTGACTTTCCCAAGCACGGAGTGGAGCCCGAGCCGGGGGTCACTGAGGCCGAGACCTCACCCCCAGCTGCTGAGATCAGGGAGGCGCGGCCCCTTCGGTTAATGGACAATCCCACACAGGGGTGGCTGAACCACAGGGGTGGCGGAATGTGTGCCTCGGGTAGGGGAGGGTAGGAGGGGGCAAGCTGTGGGCCCCCAGCCCCGCGGGAGAGCACCGATGAGGGGGTGCACCCAAGCTCGACACCCCAAATGACATTTCAGGAAACACTCCTCTGACATCCAGTATTCTGCAGCTGATTTGCTAAATGCCAATTAAGTGCTTCATTATTGCGGGGGTGTCTGCTCCTCAACTCGTCAGACTTTCTTCATTACCCGTGTAACTATGACTTAATTGCCTGCCAGCGCATTCAGCCCCCGGAGGGAGACAAGGCAGGGGAGAGACAGAGACAGGGAGGGCCGCCCTGCGTGCGCGGGGAGGACCAGCAGCCGGTGTCTGGGCACACGGCGGGCACTTGTGTATGCTGGCCTCCAAGGTGGCTGAACCTTTCCTGAAACTCTGGCTCCTAAGGCACTGGAGCCCCAGCATCGTGCAGAGGGGCAGTCAGTGGGGGGCCGCTCTGGGATGCAAGGGGTCCCGCGTATCCCTGGCTCATGGGGTCTTGGTAACTGAACAGAGGCAGGACCACAGGACATGCAGGAAAGGTCGCGTTCCTGAGTTTCTGAGGGGGGATGTGAATTCTATCTCAAGCTCCTGTCTGGACGTGGCAAAAGTGGGGTCTCTGCGGTTTAGGGCCCCCCTTGCCCCTGGGTTGGGTGGAGTCAGAACGGAGGTGAATGTGTCAGGGTCAGGCAGGAAGAGAAGCAGCGTTTGCTACCCAAGCGGCCGCGGTGATGGGAGCAGGGAGGGGAGGCCCCCCCCAGAGATCGGCAGCAGCACGACATCACCGTCACTCCAAGCGGAGGGATGGAGGGCGCCGCCAGGCCAGGCCGTCTGCGGGAGCCACACCCACGGCGGGGCTGCCTTGCTCTGGGCCGGGAGGCTGTGACAGTGAAGCAGAGGATGTGGGGGTTGCACTTCAGCACAGACACCGAGCCAGGCAGTAATGTCCTCACAGCTTCCTGGGGGGACAGAGCATAGGCCTTCCCGTTGCTGTGACCACCTGGCCTGGGAGCCTTCAGGAACGCAGAGTCCCAGGCCAGCTGCACCAGAAGCTGCACTTTTGCTCAGATCCTGGGTGATTCCAGACCCCCTGGAAGTCTGGGATCGAGCCTCCCGGGACCAGGAGCCCGGAAGTCAGCCACACGCGCAGAGACTGCCTCGGCCTCGAGGACCGGCAGTGAGAGGCCCCCAGGGGATGCTGCGGCTTCCCCGTCTGCTCCTGACAGCCCCCCAACCCCTTCTGCTCTCACCTCCTCCCCCACCACAGCCACTCAGCCAACCTCACGGACCCTGGAAGGGGCACTCACTCTGCCCTGAGGACAACCAGGGCAGAGGACAGGGACCACACGACCTGGCCAAGTCAAACACGGCAAAGCGCAGCTGCTGGGGAACCGGAGCGGCTGTGGAGTGAGGGTCCCCACCCGCCTCAGTAAGGAAGTGTGGAAACCGCAGGACCCCAGATTCAGACAAAAATCAAGAAAACTTGTTTCAGTGTTCTGTAACTTATGACTTTTTTTTTAATGTAATGGCATTAAGAAAAGTGTGAGGCCTCAGGCCCATCCAGCACTGCCCCCTGGGGTCCCCGCACAAGGCTTACGCAGGGCCACAGTGACACTCCTGGTGCCAGGCTGCCCGGGACCCCCAGGCCATCCACCATAAATGCACGTGAACATGAACCAGGGCCCCAGCCCCCAGCCCCAGGCAAGCCCTGTGCCCCAAGGACCAGGTTGGTAAGGTGGCTCCCTTTAGAGCAGAACAAGCAAAGGGCAGTGGCGCCATGTGGTGTCTGCTACAAATGGGACACCCAGGGGAGGCCTCCCCAAGGTCACTTAGGCTGGGGTCTAAAGGAAAGATGCGGAGGAAGAGGATTTGGCAACACAAAGGCCCTGGGGCACGAACCAGCTTAGCAAGATGGAGCAAAGCAGAGCAGCTGGGGTGGGGGGCACTAGCGTCCCCAAATCACACAGCTGTGTGGAGAGACAGCCTTGCACACACTCAGCTCCCCACCTCCCTGGCCCCAAAGCC